CTTGGCCCCGATGAGCCCTCCTAGCAGAAGGCACCTGTCGGGGCCCGCGAGCTAGGCAGAGTTTTTTCCACCTGAGGGGTGACGTTACCCAAACCTCAGAGCGCCATTCTGAACCCTCACTGCCCTGCAGGTTTCTTTGTGGGGCCATTAGGGAGCTGGGGTGCCGCCCGAAGTGGGATGGAGTGAGGGTCTGGAGGCCTCTGGGGAACTGTTCCAGGGAGAGGTGAAGGAAGGGGTGGAGACCATGAAACCCAAACCCAACCCCACCCAGAACCTGGGGCGAGGCCTTTTCTCCTTGAGGATCATTCCAGAAGGGAGACCAGCTCTGTCAGAGTGACAGGCAGATGTTTGCACTTTGGTGGCTGAAGCTGAGGCGGGGGAGCGGGAAGGAGCTGGGGCCGCCCCAGAAGTGAGGAGAGCTGCCTCTCCGGGGGCTTCGGCAGAAGGGCTCTGCCACTGTCTCAGATCCGGTCCTGTCCCTCCCGGGGAGCCGCGCCCAGCTTGTCTGCCTCAGGTTGACTCTGGGTAACTTTGCTGCCTGGGCTTCAGTGGAGGGAGGGAGGGCTTACAGCAGCCTCCAGGTGCTGGGGTGCTGGTGGGGGGCGGGGCAGAGAGGTGGAGAAACCTCCCCTGGGTTGGGCGCGGAGTGAGAGACCCCATGTTTCTTTAGCACCCTGGGTTAATTCTTGGTCTCACCTAAGCTCCTACAGAGAGGATGTCCCCGGTGTCCCTTTTCGCAAACGTCAGAAGAGACTGAGCTAGGAGCTGCCCCCGCCCCTTCTCCTGCTCCCCCACCTCAGGCTGGCGGGGCCGTCCTCAGAGCCCCCGGGGTGGCAGACAGGGAAGCTTCTCAAGGCCTGATCTTGGTGGCCCAGAACCCCATGGTATGGTTGCCAGATTTGGCAAATAAAAATACGGGATGCCCAGTTGAATGTAAATTTCAGATAAACAGCGAATAATTTTAAAGTCTAACTCTGTCCTAGGCACCATTCGGGACATCGTTGTCTCCCTGAAATTCCGATGTAAGTGGCCATCCTGTGTTTTACCCTTGTCCACTGCTCCCCTCACCCCTCAGTCTCACGGGCCAGAGACTAGTCACCAAGGATTTCACTTAAACTGTTTTGTGAGATGCAATATTGATAAGGGGACACTGTGACTTGAAGACACATGAATATACTTTATTTTTTAAGCGACAACAAAACAAGAACCTTCTGAAGCCATTTGAGCCTCATCCGCCCCACACGCGGTTAGTTGTACCCAGAAGACGGTAGTTATCTGTAGACACGGACCGACCTCGCTCCAGCGAGATGCATGTCGCCGACTCCTGTAGCAGCGCATGGCGGAGCTGCGCGCCCGGCCCCACGCTCTGTGCAGCTGTGGAGGCTGCTCCTTTGCGTCTATGTCATGAAGTCTGTCCCCCTCCACCCCCCGCCTTGCCCCTTGGGAATCCCCAGCGGGAGCCGTTACCTGCCCTGCCGTGGGGGACGCTGGAGGACGGCTGGCGCCCTGGAGGCCTGTCCCCGCCAGCTGCACACCTGTCTGCAGAGGTGACCTTCTATGTACCGTGCCCTGTGTCAAGCCCAGTGTCTGGTTTCCCAGTGGCTTCTGTGTCCTGTGTATGTGTGGTGTCTCCTTCACCCACTGTGTGACTTAACTGAAAGCCATAAAGGGCTCCTGCTGGAGACTGGCCTTGCCTCTTCCCAGGAGCCCCCGTCCCCCTGCCTGGCTCCCCACAGAACACTCACGAAGGGCTTGCCTGCTGCCACCTCCTGCTCTCAGCCTCGTGTCAGCAGGACAGATGGTGTCTAGGGCTTCTGGTGGGGCCTCAGGTGTTGCCAGCGGTCCTGGCAAGCTGTCTCCCTCCACCCAGGTTGACCATCCAAGCCCATCCCCACCCTGCAGTGGTGGGGCCGTGGGGGGCACTCCAGAGCTTCAGGTACCTTTCTGGGGGGCTGCGGGGTCAGGGTCTCTGGGCGGTAGTGGAGGGGGGTGTCCTGGGGGAAGCCAGAGAAGCCATGGGCTCTGCTCTTCCCCCGTGTCCCTCCTGCAGTGTGACGGCACGGGCGTGAAGGGGTGCCTCTGAGAGCAGTGGGCAGGTGCCATGGCATCGCTTGGGGGACCCCACAGCCCCCCATCAGTGCCCCAGGGCAGCCAGCCAGGTGCACCCAGTGGTAAGGGTGGGAGAGGTCCCAGGCCATCATGTCGAGCCAAGGGTGTACAGGTAGGTCCCATCTTGCGGCCCTGGCCTCAGGACCCCACGAGGACAGACACGTCCTGGGAACACGGGGGGTGAGGACTGTGGGTCAGGTGGGCGTGTCAGGCAGGCTGAGCCTCGATGCCTGAGCACACTGCGGCCCAGGGATCCCTGCGCTGGGGACACGGAAGGTGGGGAGAGAGGAGGGGCTGTGTCTGAGCCGGTGGGGTCAGGTGCTCAGAGACATCACCCCCCACCCCCCACCGTGGCCAGTGAGGGTAAGTGCATCTGCTGAGGCAGAGCAGGTGATGGATGGTGGGGGCGTCCCCACCCAGTCGCCTCTGTCGCTCAAGCCTGACCACCGTGCCCTGACCACCATCTGAGAACTTGATGCTTTCGGAAAGCTTCAAGCCCAGGCGGTGGGCCCTGGCCTGCTCCGGTCCCCCAAGTGCAGTGGCCCCGCCAGGACCCCTGCCTGTCTTCCTGGGACGACACATGCACCCTGCCCTCCCCCTCTCTCCCGCTTGGCCGTGCTCCCCACCCTCCTTGCGTGGACTCTGGTTCTTGTCTGATGCTCTTGTCAAACTGTCATTTTGTAATGAGCTGCGTCTCCTTATTAAATTAGCTGAAAGAACTCTGGGGTGGGGGGTCTCCAGTTCTGTTTGTTGGGCGGGGGGTCAGCAAGACAGTGGTGGGGGAATACCAGGTGGGCAGGGACCGCGGTGTCCTCAGGACGGCTTTTCCAGGGAGCGTCTCCTGGGAAGCTGGGGATGGTCCCCGTCCTCGAAGCCCTTCTGCAGAGCTGGGCCTGGGGACAGGCCCAGTCCAACAGATGCGGGGAGGTAGGCCCTCGGGGTTGCGATTTTGGGAGGTGAGGGTGCCTGTGCACCCTCCATGGCCTGTTGCAAAGAACCTCCAGTGTCTGCCTCTGAGCTGGAAGCGTGAGAGACGAGACTGGGCTGCAGCATGTTCAGGGACACAGAAGGCAGGTGGCCGTGCCTGCAGGCCTGGGTGGGGTCCAGCTCCGTCCTTAGGCGCCAGGCCAATCTGTGGACATTCTCTAGGCCCTGAGGGCAGCTTGGCCAGAGGGTGGGAGATGGCCCCAGGCTTCAGCAGTGAGGTCTGAGCAGGGCCACGGCCTCCCAGCTTTAGTCCCTTGCAGGGAGGCCGGGGAACTACCTAGCGAGGGGCCAGGTCTGCCTGCATGGGGACAGGATTTATTGGGAGGGTCCTGTCCTTGGCCACCACCTGGCGACCGGTGCAGCCATCCCCACAGGGCTCGCCAGGTCCAGGAGTCCGTAGGCCCCCGGGGTCCCTTGCGTCACACTAGATTCGTTG